ATATATATATATATATATATATATATATATATATATATATATATATATATATATATATATATATATATATAAATCAAAGGTTGTTGGTACATTGGCGCCAAATGCCGAGTAAGATTTGTGCGGCGCAGTTTGGCGCCAAACTGCGCCGCACAAACCTTAGTCGGTATTTGGCATCAATTTGATGTCAAACTGCGCCGCACAAATCTTGCTCGGTACTTGGCGCCAATTTGCCAATAACCTTTGATTTAGCAGATGTTGTATCCAATGCAGTCCAATATAAAGTCAATATTGTTTACTAATTATATATCATTAAATAGTCAATATTGCATAATGTATTTGTACCAATATGTACCCAGATAGCCAAACCTGTGCGAGCAGATTTTACGCAGAGTCTGTCAACAGTGTCTGTTGACAGAATGGCAACAGACTGCACACAGAAACTGTTTTGGGAGCACTTGGACACGGTGCATTTGGACACAGCCAATCACAGCACCGTGTGATAAGAGACATTTGTAGGGTTGGAACAGCGACTTGTGATTGGACTGTGTCCAATTGCCCCGTGTCCAACTGATATACACCCAACTGTTTTAACAGTCTCTAACGACAGATTGGTGACAGACTGCGCGCAGAGCCTGTCGACAGACTCTGACGACAAACTGACGGCAGATTGCGCGCAGATTCTGTTTCCTAGATAGGCTATTTAATTCTATCAAGGGCCATATGTACGTTATTAAATGGGGCAGTTTCACATACATACCATGTAAAACTGCTGCAAAGGAGTTAAGATAATTATATTGCGCAATAATTGGACACATATATAATAAAAAATAATGTTTACATTTTAAAATTGTATTACACATTTTTTATAAAAAAGCAACAATAATAGAGAAATAACGAGTACAAGTATAGAATAGTACAACGATTAAATGGCCATTTAAAGGCGTACGTATGTCACCCCTGATAAAAATTGTTTTCATAATTTTTCATACAATTTCTCATCTTATTATTTTTTTTAATGTTGTTATGTCATTAAATCTGCACGATTTAACCGTCATGCAATAAGTACTGAAGGCAGCAGCACCGAATAAAATATAAGTCTCGCTATGTAAATAACTTTTACAGAATTTTTTTGATGGTTTATTTAAAAATATATCATGCTTCGATTTTGATAAAACTTAATACAATCTGAACGAAACGATCGACCAAATTAATTCGCACATGTAAAAGTACAGTATTTTATTAATATGATAGAAAAATGTCATTATCTGCTGTTTTATTGCAGCAATTTTCTATACATTCCTTGGTAGAAAATTAATTTCGAATTATCGCACCAGTCTCTCTTACATTATTTATACGCTAAACGGTTTCGTCTATATTTTGCGGCTTAAAAGGCGAACAAACTATAATATTTTTCTTCCTTAAACTTTAAGTGGGCAATACAAAGCGCTTTTCATCAAGTGAGGAATTGGCGTAGTGTCTAAGGCGACGGACGATTATCCAAAAATGTCTTCAGTTCAAGTTCGAATCTCACCAGAGAAATCTTAAAAGTGATGAAAAAATAATATAGAAGAACTTTTTTTTTCATAGCATTATATGAGTATTTATGAGAAAGTGCTTATTCTATGAGTAATTATAAAAAATCATGAGAAAATTTAATTGAAGAACCTAAGAAACGACAGGATCTACGCCCAATCTGCCGTCAGAGTCTGTTCGCAGACCCTGTCAACAGTCTGGCGGCAGATTGGGGACGCAGATGTCTATGGATCTGTCGACAGATCCTGCTCGGATTCGACTGATCCTGTCGACAGTCTGACGTCAGTCTGCGCGCAGATTGCTTACTGAGTAGACAATATATATTACAAATTATATTTCGGTTCACAAATTACATTTTATTTTCTATATATTGGATTATATTGGTCCAATGTATAATGGCTCCTGCACACAGGACGCGGTAATGCTTGCCGCGCGGCGGAAGACCGCGTGACAGCCAATCAATATGTTTTTCCGTAAGAACTAGGAAGTTATTACGGAAAGCAGCATACTGATTGGCTGTCGCGCGATCTTTCGCCGCGCGGCAAGCATTACCGCGTCCTGTGTGCAGGAGCCATAACAGTATTGTCACAATCAATGAGTGTTTACGACAATTATAGAATTTTTCATTGGCAGAATTGGTGTGCACTGAGTGCGCACTAAAGCTTGTTCATAGTATGTTATTATATTGAAAGATTAATAAATTCTCAAATATTTTTTATCAGTAATATAATATGTATAACATTCGCACGAATAATTTTATTACCTAAAATATTTTTAAATATGTATTTAGACACGATTTTAAATATGAAAATGTATTGTAAACAAGCCTTAGTGCGCACTCAGTGCGTACCAGTTCTGCTAATGAAAAACGCTATTAAAGTTAGTTCCACTAGGGCCGAAAATTATGATAGGTACGACCATCTAGTACTTTTGTAGTTTATGACAACTTCTTCTAATGGCTCCTGCACACAGGACGCGGTAATGTTTGCTGCGCGCCGGAAGTACGCGCGACAGCCAATCAATATGTTGTTTTTCCGTAAGAATTAGAAGGTTATTACGGAAAGCAGCATATTGATTGGCTGTCGCGCGAACTTCCGCCGCGCGGCAAACATTACCGTTCCTGTGTGCAGAAGGAGTGAGTCCCAGATGCGCACATTGACAAACGGACACATCCAACC